AAATCTTGCCATTTGCAACAATGTGGATGGAACTAGAGGGTATTATGCTAAGCGAAATGTCAATCAGAGAAAGACAAGTATCATGTGATCTCACTGATATGAGGAATTTGAGAAACAAGACAGAGGATCATAGGGGAAGAGAGGAAAAATGAAACAAGATGAAACCAGAGAGGGAGACAAACCATAAGAGACTCAATCTTAGGAAACAAACTGAGGGTTGCTGGATTGGAGGGGGGTGGGAGGGATGGGGTGGCTGGGTGATGGACATTGGAGAGGGTATGTGCTATGGTGGGCGCTGTGAATTGTGTAAGACTGATGAATCACAGACCTGTACCTCTGAAACAAATAATACATTATATTTTAATTTAAAAAAACTGGCATTGCACACAAAAAGAAAGATAAAATCACCCCCTGCACTATTTCACCTGGCATCCCATTAATATAATTATTTATTAATAATTTAATTAAATCTCTTTAATCCCTTAATGTTTCCCATCGTCTTTTCCCAAAACTACGTGTTCATCCAGAAAATGATCTAATCTCCAAGTTACCCCAGGAGACAGTTTTACTGGATGCTGTTCTCACTCATGACATGAATTGTCATCCTTCCAGCTTCTGGTAATAGTTTCTTCACTACTTGTTGCCTGGTCCCTAAGCTAATGCCATATTTTTGTTTTTGTTTTGTGTTTCTGTAACTATAAGCATCCCATGTCAGGAGCCAATTACTCTATGAGTCAGGATAGCCTGGGTTATGCTGCTGTCAAAAACAACTCCAAAATCTTTTTCTTTCTCAAGTTATGTATCCCACACAGTTGGCTCCGTTCATCTTGATCCCTGAGGAGCGCTAGCTGGGAGATGAGCATCCAGGAGCACCACAGCGGGAGAAATAGAACATAGCAAATTGAGCATGGGCTCCAGAGTGACACATGCCACTTTTGCTCACTTTTCTTGCACCAAAGCAAGTCACATGACAATGTATAACTCGGGAAAGACAGAGAAATGCCACCCTGCCCTGTTCCCAGGAAGCTGAGAGATGGATCTATCTGATGAACAACATTGATTACCTAAAATTGCACAGTGCTAATCACATTCTAATTATATATATATATTTTTTGGCCAAATTCATCCTTGTTAAAATTTTATGAATCATTTAATTGGATGTACACATTTAGAGTTTGATAGTAGTTAGTACTTAAAAACAAATCTTGATCCAGAAATTTAGATGACCATATCATTTTATAGACATTTTACTAACTCAAGAGTTATTTTTGTTGAAGAATAAAACCCAAACCATAAATTTAGGATACTTGCAGTATTTAGGTTCTAAAAATGCCAGCCATCTTTAAAAAATTTCAATAAACTTGAGTTTATAAACTATATCAAAGAAAGTTCTTTGGTTACCAGAAACAGAATTTGACTGATTACCCTAATCAAAAGAGAAATTTGGGGAAGCATTTAGGGATATGTACAGAATCAAAGGTAAAGACAAAAGATCAAGACTTGATGACTGGGAGTTCCAAAAGTTCATGAACTCAGAGGGAATAACATTATCCTCTATGTATGTCAGCAGACTGAATGTCTGCATGTCTCAAACCTCCCAATTTTAAAGGGAAGCAGAAGTATTGTGAATAATAGAAAACAGTTTCTCAATTACTCAGTGTGACGCAAATTGGTTATGACTTTTTAAGCATTTATTTGTGAAGGGGTCATTTAGGGTTTATGTGTCTGCAATGCTAATGTGAATGTCTTGAAAATTTTAAGACCTATTAGCACCACTGCATGAGTCTTGCTTTATGTGAATATCTCAGATTTTGTTGAACGATTCTTTGTTTTATAGTGACAGTGATGAAAAACCTCTCAAAGGAAGCCTTCGATCCCTTACCAGGGATATGCAGGCCACAGAAAGTGCCGACAGCTTAGTCCAGTATGGAGAAGGCGACCACGGTCTGTTCAATGAAGATGGATCATTTATCGGTGCTTATGCTGGATCTAAGGAGAAAGGATCTGTTGAAAGCAATGGAAGTTCTACAGCAACATTTCCACTCCGAGCATAAATGTATCCCATGTAAACAACATCAGTGGTTCATACCAACCTTCCATATTTATCTGTTCAAGGGAGCAAGAACTTTCACGTAGGAATAGAAACGTATTGGCAAAAGATTTCATCCAGAATTCGAACATCTTGCAATTATGTTGAGAAAAATAGCACTGCCTTGAAAAAATAAAATACCAAGCACTATAGGCCTATATTGTTTTGTTTTGTTTTTCAGGTGCTGAAAATTCAGAACACAAAACATATCCTGTATTTAGATTCACCTCAACTGAACCCAAAGTATCAATTCAGTGTACTCCATTTTTGCCTGGATTTACTGTTCACTGTGTTTGCATAGTTGTTGCTACCTTGTGGGTTTTTCTCTGTGTGCACATTTGTGTTCAGTCTCTGAGAACTGTCTTAGTGACTTTGCTTCACTACAGGTAAAAAGATGGTAAGCAAACTGGTTATTTAAAATGTAAAGAGGAATATGAATGTCTTATTAAAGCAGTTCATTGAATATATACAGTCTAAATCTATTATTTAAATTGTTAGTAGCAGGAGTCTTAGGTGAACAATCAACTCGTATTTATTGAGCGCCTGTTTGCCCAGAGATGGTCATGTTAAAATAGAATGCTAACTTTTTCAGTTTCAACATGAATTTTTTTATGTCTATCAGTTCTGACATCTAGAACCATTTTCTCTTTTTTCTTTTTTGGTTTTTTCCTTGGACTAAATTCAGCTGCAAAGGAAGTGGTGGTCAGAAGGTTATCTTATGAAAGAACAGGCCAAGCTATCCATGATGCTAGAGCCTAATAGCTAAACCTAGTTAATATCTCCATTTCTAAATTGACTGCTTTTACCCTTTTTCTGTGTTTATATAATGGTATGCTCGCATATACTTCATGAATGCTTTGTACATATTATGTTAATATTTACACAATTTAAAATATAGATGTGTTTTATTTTGAAGTGAGAAAAAGAACATTAACAGGCATGTCTGTACAGCTAGAGTATATAGTGAGATAACATGCCAATAGCATGAGGCTCCAAAACTGAAGACTTTGTATAGAGCATTTGGATTTTGTTCTTATATTGCTTTCTGCGACAGTCTCAAAATAAAATATCATATAAATATTGGAAATGTTTTCCTATTTTTCAAAATAAGTTTTTATTGTTGAGTATATTCTTACCCTGGCCCCCAAAAGGAAAAAGAACTGTTTACGGTAGAAATTTCCATATATATGTTTGCCTTTCACATTTTAAACATCTTCAGGGTGGGCTCTCTTTGCTCTTCTGTCAAAGTCAGTACAAATCCAGGGAATTAATTTCCTGGCGTGTGGGCTACTAGTCCTTCTAAAATTGTACATGAAAATGGTTTAAAAATATTATGAAGGACTGTGCATGAATGCCAGTAAAATTCAGTGTTCAACTTCTCACTTTATGGAAACATTTGTTAACCCTACCATGAAATTCTTAATTATGTTTAAGTGAAAGTGACTCACAGATTTTCCTTTATTTTTTGAACTGTAGCTGTGGCCATATATTGTTAAATCCTGACTTTGATTTATGCAGCCCACTGTATTTCTTGTGGACCAAGATTAGGGATGTTTTTACAATGGTCAATGCAGGAATCCACATGGAGTATCTAATTGTCATTTTAAACCTTGTGTGTCCTCCAAAATATATAGGCAGCAAAAGAATGATTTAAAACAATGTGTCATGGGCTCAGGATTTGACCAAACTCCCAGAAGAAAGAGTTTCCAAAGGGGAAGGTATCTTGGTCCTCAACCTATGTATGAGGATCCACACATCCAGCAGTGCACCTTGAGCTTCATCCCCATCTGATTTCTAAAGCACTTTTCTGGAGGAAGAATCATCATGTTTTGACTTATCTGGGAGGAATTCCTGGTACTCAGCTACTGATGAGGCCAAGGTTAGGACTTCTGAGTGTAGTTCTGCTGTTTTTCTAGTTCCTCTTCTTTGTCATCAGCCAAAAAGGTTTTAAGAAAATCATGCAGGTTGGAATAATCTCCAAAAAGCATTAGGGTGTAGATTTATTATAAATTTGATAATCTTTAAGTTAGAAGTTAATGCAAATACTGAAGTGTTTCATTTTCCTAGACTTCAATGTTTCCCTTTAGCAGTCTGAGTAATAGGAATGTTCCTGCTCATATATTCTCAATGACCAAAACTCACAGATAGGATAAATGACATTGCATTATCACTGCCTTTTGCTATTATTCTTCATACCTTTTCTTAATATCATTTGGCTTCTACTGGGAATCTTCAGTGCAGAAGGAATTGGTTCGTAACTAACTTTCTCTGTTAACTGTCAATGTTATTTTAATGTAATAGATTGTATATAATCTCAAGGATTGTTGGTGGGAATGAGTTCCTAGAGAATTGTCCAAGGGTTGGGAAAATCCAAGTTCTCTTCCTGGTTCCAGCACTGATTTTGTACATAAACCTTAGGCACGTTGCTTGACCCCTTTGCTTCATACTGTCTCAACTATAAAGTGCTAATGATTATCTCAGTTACCTTATCTTTGTCACAGGGTGTTCTTTTTTATGAAGAAAAATTTGAAAACGATAAAAGCTAAGATGCCTTTTAACTTCATAAACAAACCTTTAATCTAACGATGTATCAAAAGCCACCCCACACATACCAACTCAACTTCTTTCCTGTGAGCACATAAATATATTTTTATAGAAAAACAAATCTACAGGAAATAAAATCTACTGTTCAGTGAGCAGTATGATTTGCACATGCCATCAAAATTATTAATCAGAAAACAATTAAGCAGGGTCTTTGCTATACAAAAGTGTTTTTCACTGATTTTGCATGTGTATTTGTAGAAAATGTGAATTTGGTGGATTATTCTATTAGTATAAAGGCATCTGATATTTTAGATGTACCCATGTTTATAAAAGTGTAAAGCACAATGAAATTATGCTGGAAGTCTCAAATAATATTTTTTTCCTATTTTGTATTCATGGAAGAGATGAGATAAAGAGAGAACAATAATGAGAAATGTTGGTGTGTTTTTCTAAGCATTTAAAACATAATTGCCAATTGAAGCCCTAAATATGTTTACATGCCATTAAGATATGATTCTTGTAACAATTTTAAATTGATTATAAAGGGATTGGGTTTGTAATCTGTGGTAGTATATATCCTAGTGTTCCCATAGTGAAATAAGTAGGGTTGAGCCAAAGCTTACTTTGTTTTGTGTCTTAAATTGTTTGATTACATCATCAAAAGAGATAAAAGGTATGTAGAACTGGTTCACCTGATTACTTTTCTTTTTTTGGCTTAGATTAATACAATAGAACTTTATTAAAATGTGTTTGTATTGTAGGTGGTGTTTGTATTATGCTTATGAATATGTATGGTTTAAAAATATTTTCATTATACAAGAAATTCAACTTTCCAAATAAAAGTTCAACTTCGTGTACTCTAAAAATGTTTGTGTTCTTTTCTATCCAGACAAGAAGAATCAGAATTTATAAATCAGCCTTACCTCCAGTTGCCTCTGATCCTGGAATATCTATAAATTAAGCATAAATTAATAAAGTATAAATGACATATAAATAAAGTATTTTTATTTGAATCACTATACTTACAAATAGACCATTTAATAGCAACATCTACAAAATGTAATTTGCCAATAAATTCAGTGCTTAATGATAAATGTAAAATTAAGATGAATGTGTATTCATTTGATTGTTTTTAGAACAATGTAGAAATGTCAATTTTCAAGAAAATGGCCAATATACTATAGTTTCAAATAAGGCTAGCGAGTAATTGGGACACCCAATCTATTAAAAATTGTGATTTTTGCAAAGTGTTTTATGTGTATTAAGCACTTTACATACATTATCACATTTACCTCTGAAACTCAATCTTCTGTTTGTAGAATTAAGGCACAACATGGTTAAATAATGGGGTGAGTGTAACCAGCATGGGCTAGAGCTGGAAATTAAACCCAGTGCTGTCTGGCTCTAAAACTCAGACTCAGAATCTATATTAGTATATTAGAATATATATTAATATATGCTTTTTTATTCTCTCACTCCTCCACATTATCTTAGAAATGCTAAAGAGAGGTAAGTTTGAGTTTAATGTTGACTTAGTGATCATGTTTAGAAACTTCTTGGTTTTAAGATATGTGATCAAAACATACAATAGGGGGAAACAATATTATATGTATAAAACAACTGAATATGTGTAAACTAAAAAGCAGTAATTGAAATAAATTGAAAATCTGCTGCCTTACAATTCTGTCAAGAGGAAAATACGGCATCTGAACTTGTTGGACTCTGGAGTGTCTGCAGACTCAATCTTAGGTTTCTGTCCCTCTCTACTGTCCCTCAAATGTGTCTTACACGTCAGGCTTGATTGTCATGTGCAGACACATGACCTCAAGGTATTTTTAGCCCAGAATTCTCCATATATCTGATGCTTTTTATTTATGACTTCCTACTTGACATCTCCTCTCCTAATGTTTGAAGGATATTTCAAACTCAGTGTTTCCAAAGTGAATGAGTAAGTTTCCCCTTCCCAATCTGTCCAACACCCTGCCCCACTCCTCAACTGTACCTACAGTTAAGTGATTTTCAGCAATAGTAGCCATCCAAGTACTCAAGCCAAAAACCTAACTTTTTCGCTTTCCCCATGCTCAATCCATGACTAAATTCTGTTGATACGATTGCCTATGTATCTCCTGGATCTACCCACTGCTCTGTACTGTGATCATTTGGCTGGGCCACTTTCATGCTAACTGGTCTTTCTGTGTCCATTGGCTCCCTCTCCAAACTTTTGACCACTATACAGGCAGGGTGATATTTGAAGTGCGTATCTGTTCATACTGTTTCCCTATGATGACCACCCTCCCCACCCCCCACCAATGACTTTCCTTTGCTCTTAAGATAATGACAAAAATCTTCAATTAGTAGTCTTCAATGTTCTGCATGGTCAGACCCCTACTACGCTCCCAATCCCATCATTCACCATTCTCCCATTCCTCTCTCCAATCCTGTCATAAAGATTGTATCAAAGACCTCAGATTCTCTAGGCCTAGTCCATCTGGTACCAGCCACTGGTGGCATGAGCAGCTCCACTCTATAGACTGCAACAGACTAACTGCAGATGGGAATTAACAGTAGTGCTCATGATGTACCTCTTGCTGAGGGGCTTTTCCCTGAACACTATGGCATGAGGTGCTGGGAGACCCTGCCTGGTGCCTATTCAGGTTCAATATGGAAACATAGAGAAATGAACACCATATGGAGCAAATGTTTATCCAATGGGAGAAGGGAGCTGGTGGATAAATTCTAGCCCTCTCTCATGGCCCCTCTCCACTCCCTTATCCTGAATGGTCCCACAGATTAGAGCAATCATCTGCATTTAATAGTGGCCAACCCAATAATGCACCTTCTGTTGGGTCTTCCTCTTTGCCTGACTCTCTTTTTTCCTCATGCCTAATCTTAACTTATTAGGATTGCACTCCCTAATAAATTAATAGCCCGTATACTGATTGCTGTAGACTCTGCTGATAAGGACTCCAGGCTGACTCCTAATCTTTTATCAGGTCCAAATATTTGTCAAATTTCTTCCTGTTACGAGCCCCTTAAGTTTCTTCTTCACAGAATCACTGATTTGCTATCAAGTTTAATGTTTCTTTAGGGAAATCTCCTAAGACTTACATAACTAGCTCAAATCACTCTATTTTAGTGTATCATAATATTATGTACCTTTCAATTTTTGGGGCTAAACACTGTTGCAATTTTGCACTCTTTTGTATGGCTACTTGATTACTGTCTTTATTTCTCCAATCAGTCTAGAAGTTCTATAGGGGCAGGGGATGCATCTTCATTTTTACTGGAAATACCAGCCATCTAGCATAGTGTCTGGCACTTGATGAACAGTTATTAAATATTTGTTAAATAAAAGAATGAGAGTCATGAAAAGGAGATATTCCAAATAATGAATGCTTTAAGAAAATTGTAGTCCAGATACTGAAAGAAGTCTTCATTTGTACCCCTAAACAAATTTTTATCCAGTGTTCTCCATCTTAATAAATGACCCACTATCCACTCAATTACTTAAGCCAAATCACTTAGAATTATTCTTGGATACATTTTTTCCCTCATTTTTTTTGGTCAGAGAGAGAGAGCACAAGCAGGGGGAGCAGCAGACTCCCTCCCCACCGAGCACGTACCCCAATGTGGGACTTGATCTCAGGACCCTGGGATCATGACCCGAGCCAAAGGCAGACGTCCAACTGACTGAGCCATCCAGGCGTCCCTTCCCTCATTGTTCTACATCACCTCCTATTAGTCCTAACTCCAAAATATATATTTACATTTATTTATATTTCTCTTTTTTTTTGCCCTCCTCTCCAATCTATAAAACAATCATGGGGGTGGGGGGCGCAACAGCTGGGTGGCTCAGTCGGTTAAGCGTCTGCCTTCAGCTCAGGTCATAATCCTAGCATCCTGGGATGGAGTCCCACATCAGGCTCCCTCCTCAGTGGGGAGCCTGCTTCTCCCTCTGCCTGCCGCTCCCCCTGGTTGTGAGCTCGCTCTCTTTCTCTGACAAACAAATAAATAAAACCTTTAAAGAAAAATAAAATAATAGGGAACTGGGTAACATATAAATCAGATTATACCAATAGTTTCTCAATAAATTTAGGTAAAATCCCTAATTCCTAACCACATGACCATCTATGAGTGAGCCCTGCTACCTTACTGACTGTATCCCATACAGTGTTCCTCCCAAAGTTATGCTTTGGCCATTCTGACCATCTGTTTCTAGAGCCCACTAAAGCTTATTCCTGCCTAAAAGACATTTGCAATTGCTGTTCTTTCTGTCTGGAATATTCTCCTGAATCTCGTATAAATTGGCTTCTGTTGTGATTAAATGTCACTTTTTCAGGGAAGATGTTTGTGATTGTCAGCTGTAAAGTAGTCAGGTGCTATTTATGCTATTCCTTTATATCAGTCATTACTGTATTATTTTATATTCTTATGTGATTTTTTTTCCATCCTTTCTCCCACTAGTGTAAGTTCCATGAGAACAGCAACTTCGTCTCTCTTGTTCATTGCTCTGACTCCCAGAATTGGCCCCAGTATATAATACATTCCAAATAAGTGTTTGTTGGGTAAATGAATGAGCTAAAGCACCAAATGTGAAACAATGCAACAATTAAAATACAGGAAAACTAATCTCCTTATCAAAACATAGTGAGCTGAGTTTTATATTTTAAAAATATTCATATATTTAGAATATACTAGACTTATTGGGCTGTTCATTTTGAAATATATAGAAATATCAAATCATTATGTTGTATACCTGAAACTAACAGAATGTTATATGTCAGTTATACCTAAAAAAAAAAACACCACCACCATGTCAACGAGAACACAAAACTGTATACAGAAGGTCTGATCATAGAAGAAAAAAATTTTTTTCCAAAGCTGATACCAAGCCCTCCTTTCTTCTGCTTTTAGGAAAAGAAGTTTTTAGGGGCGCCTGGGTGGCTCAGTTGGTTAAGCGACTGCCTTCGGCTCAGGTCATGATCCTGGAGTCCCGGGATCGAGTCCCGCATCGGGCTCCCTGCTCGGCGGGGAGTCTGCATCTCCCTCTGACCCTCCTCCCTCTCATGCTCTCTGTCTCTCATTCTCTCTGTCTCAAAATAAATAAATAAAAATCTTTAAAAAAAAAAAAAAAAAAGGAAAAGAAGTTTTTAATGGTTTGTAAAACAATTATGTAACTCAGTAATTAACTTAGTAATAAGAATCAGTACAAATTTACTTTTGGGTAAACTTCAGTAAATTACATATCAAGAAACTAACTGCAGTACAATATATATTAGAGTAATTATGATGACTAAAATGTTTATAATGTGTTTGTAATTCCATGGGGAAAATGTTTATATTATGAAACAGTAAATTGCTATGTAGAGTATGAAAGTTAACTATGTTTTAAGATGAATTTACAAAATAATTATACATGCCTTTTCCATGAAATTAAACAGTGGAAGCATCTTATAATAATTGTACTGCTCTAATAAAATCTGTAATTAAAAGACTCAACCACTAGATGGAAGTGTTTCAAAGTAACATAAACTGTACAGAAAGCACCCTATCGCCAAGGCGTTTTCTATCCTGGCAGTTTTCAAGATTTAAACATGTATTACGTGTGTATTACTTAGGGATTTTACACTTCATCCTTCACTTCTAAATTGTGATCTCATTATAATTATTACTGGCCTTCATTAATTCAAGTTTTGTGAATTATACAAGTCTTTCTTAATTTTGAAAGGATCAGTATTTTTCAAATCTTAACAAAGTGTGATAAATTATACTTAGGACATTAAAAAAATACTTTCTTAGTTTAACTTTTTCCTTCTGGTAGAATCTGATAAAAGTGATCTCTAAATGATTTATATTGTTATCTATT